CAAGTTATTACAGATAATGGTTAGACCTTCCACTGTTGCATTAATACTTAGTACTCCAATGGAGTACTAATGCAACAACAAATCTGACTTTTGATTGGTAACTTCTATAGCAATACGCCTCAAACTAATTAAGTATAAAACCTATTGTCCATGAGATCACGGGATCAGATACTTGATTCAATAGAAGTGATCCACTCATTGACACCACTTATTACCCTATTTTAATACTTTATAAACTAATTGTGTTTTAATATTATAATATTATAATCATTGTATTTAATCCAATTGTTTTATTAATTTAATAAAATATAAACTTATTTTAATCAATTAAATTGTCTCAAATTATTACCATCATCACCATCATCATCATCATCACCAACTAGTGGACTAGTGGTTAACATACGACTGCAACAAAACTTTTATTATATAATAATTATAACTTTAAAAAAACTGCTAGTCTTACAAATATAAATACTATATATATGCTAATTAATATTAAAACTATTTTAACAATAATAATATTTTTAAATAATAGTTTAATAATAAATAATAGTTATATAAATAATTTAATAGTATATTTCAAAAACTATTTTTTTAAATAATAAATGTAAATATTTTTTATTACTATTATATAAAAATTAATAAAACAATATTAATAAATATTTATTTTTTTTTGTTTTTTTCAATAATAATAATACCATTGTTTAGATAATCGCCGCGAAAGGCCCGCAAAATTATAGCTGAATTACACGACTCTTTACCCAATTGTATGACCGGAGGACCGGTAGTCTGGGATTGACTTTTACCGGCAGTTTGTGAACAATAGTTATCCATATAATAGGTTTCATGAGATATCAATGTTGTTGTCGGTAAACATAAAACTAATTGTTTATTGTTTAACAATAATAGAAATAATTTCAAACTAATTATTAGTTGTTTAGTATTATTATTATTGTAATTATCATTAAATTTTTTTGCCACTAATTTCATGTCCACTCATATTAGTTAAATAGTTAAAAATTTATTGTTTTATTATTATTATTATTATTGTTAATAGACTTTAATATTTTATAATTATTTTTATATTAATATTTATTTTGTGGATAATTTATATACATTTTTAAAAATACTATTTAAAATTATAAACTAACCTTCAATTTGTGAAAAATAAAATAATAATAAAATAAATTTCAATGTTATTGTATTAATCGATTTATTGACCGCTTATTAAGTTAATTAATTAATTAACTAATTTTTTAGCATATTTTTGACTATTTTTTAAAATAAAATATTATATTAAATATAGCTATTAATAATAGAGATGATAACAATTATAAAAAAAATTTAATTTTTATATTAATAATAATAATAATTATTAGTTTTTAATTTTTTAAAATGTATATATAGATGTTATCCTTGACCATCATTTAACTATAAATATATATAAAATATTTTTATAATAAAATAATTGATATTTATATTGATTTTTTGAAGTAAAAAAATATATATCAAAATCAATTATTCATATTAATTGTAATACAATATTATATTGCAATTAATATTACGTTATTATTAAAAATAATTAGTAATTACAAAAAAAATATTTAAAAAAAAATAATTAGAAAAAAATATTATTACATTAATAAATATAAAATTATTATTTATTTTTATATATTAAATGACTGGTGAAGTATTGTTATTATAATTATTATTATTATTCAAGGTTTGTATATATTTTTTAATACAAAATTATTATTATAAGTCTATGATATAAAAACTTAAATAATGTATTTAAGTATTTACTTAACATTTATTTATTTACATTTATTTTTCAAAAAAAAAAAATTATACAGTATATGAAAAACGAGTGTTTCTCTTATATAAATAATTTAATAATTAATTTTATATTTGTGTATAAATTGCAACATAGAGTATATGATTTTATTTATAAAAAAAATTGCAATTTTAAAAAATATTTATATATTTATTTGCTATAGTAAGCTAATGTAAATTAATAATAATAATAATAATAATAAATATTGTAATAAACAAATTTTTTTTAGTATAATCATTATTATTGATTATTATTATTATTGTTATTATCAATAATTTTAAAAACTATTTAAACTATGTGTGTATGTATTGTATGTATTGATTATATGTGTGTTTTATTTTTGTTGCTAATTAAGCAAAAAATTTTGTTTTAAAAATATTAGTAAAAAATAAGTAAACAATTTTTTTTTGATTATTTTAACACTTAAATAATAAATATGAATAATTATTGTATATATTTTAAGTATACTAATTGGTAGAAAAATAATTGTTTTTTTACAAAAAAAAATTAACTAATATTTTAGTGTTAAGTAATGTATTTTTTTGCGTTAATTAAGTTTTTAAAAAACTAATTTAATAATAAATTTATTTATTTTTTAAAAAATTATGTTTATTTATTAATTAGTACATTATATATATACAATATTGTAATTTACATTATAGACAATATACTACTACTAATACTACTACTTTATGATACGACAATTATTTGCAAACTAAATTTTTTTTTTTAAATTTTAATAAATAAAATACTTTTAAAATTTATGATTTTTTTGCAAGTGATTGCAATACATTATTATAATATAAATATTACATGAAAATTATTATTATTTCAAATAGTGATTTCAATATATATATATATATATATATATAATATTTAAACGTAATGTAAATATCCTGTTCCTCAACACATATAATGTAATATAAAATATAAAAAAAGTTTAGTCATATAAATGGTATGTTTAATATAATAATAATAATAATAATAATATAATGATTACAAATTTTTATTACAATATACTGTACATAAAAAAAATGTTTTTACATATATATGTATGTAATATGTATGTAATTTTATATATACAGTCGTATATACTGTATATTTATAACCCACGATAACATATATATATATATATTTATATTATTATGTTGTTTGTATGTATGTATACTGTATATATGAAAATATACAGTTAAAAAAACATATTGTGTTTGTATGTATTCAATGCCAATTCAAAGTACAGTGTATTACATACTAATAGTTAATTTACAATCAAAAAAAATTGTTTTATATATTAATTTGTATATATATTTTCTGACAATTGTTTTAATATACTGTATATATACTGTATAACAGTATTTTTATTTATAATAATATTATTTTTATAAGTGATTAGAAATTATTGTATATATTATACTTATATATTGTTAGCAACTAATTATATAATTATCATTATAAGTTAACATTATTTTTTTTACTGTATAATTACAAGTGTTTTTTGTATGTGTGTATTACTGTTTAATATTAATATGAAAAAAATATTATCAATAATTTTTTTTTTATTAAATAATTATTTCGTTGACTGGGAGTCACTGATAATATGATTTGATATATACTGTATGTATATATTAATACTGTAAATGTAAATATATATATATATATATATAAAGTTTATATATATATGACTATTTTAGGAGATAAATAAAATTATTATCATTTTTATTATCATTATAATAATAAAAATAAAATAATACTAAAAATCATGTCTACACACCCGTCCCTAACAATATTATTATTGTTGATAAAATAATTTAGTTAATATGATTGTTGTATAATACAGTATTAAATATATATATATATTTACTGTTATATAATAATTTAATTTAATTTTCATTTAAAAAGTCATATAATTTTTTTAAAAAAGTATCAATTGTTTTAATTCAAAATAATTTTTATTAATAGTTAATAAATAATATTATAATTACTAAAATAAAATATTTTATTATTTATTTTTGTTTGTTTGTGTGTTTGACAAACAGTATTTGATTTTTTGATTGTATTATGTGATTATAAATTAGTAGTTTAGTTATATATATGTGACTGTTTTTATTTTATTTTATTTTTTTTTTGATTTGACAAAAAACAGTTAGATTTATATATATTTTATGTATATATAATATTTTTGTGCCGTTTAGATATATAATATGATAACAACAATTTTTCTACATATAAAGTGTATAAATATTAATATATATATATGTAATATTTACTTAAATATAAGCTACTATTTAATTAATTTTGTGTGGTTTTAATTTAATTTTTGTTAACATAATATATATATACAGTACTTAAACTGTATATTAATATATTCAAGTTATTAGTAAATATACAACAGTTTTATTTTTAATAATATTAATTTATTGATTTCTAAATATATTAAAAACAATCATATAATAGTTTAGTATATTTTAAAATATATATATATATTATTAATATTACTATTAAAGTAAATTTAAATATTACAAAAATTATTTAATATATTTGTATATTTGATTTATTTGTTGTTGTTGTTAGTGTCAAATCAATATAATTAATAAACTAATAATAAAAACATTAATTTTTTTTTATTATAAACAGTGATTATATTTTTTGACAGATATATTAAAAATATATTAAAAATTTAAAAGTTATTTGTGATTAAATAATAATTAATAATTATCTATAAATTATTATAAATTTAATATAAATATATATATTATATTTAGTTGGATTTATTAATTAAGTCATATAAATATCACTAATAATAATAATAATAATAATTATTATTATTATTGTTACATAATTACTAATAAATATTTATAAAACAATAAATATTTTTATTAAAACAAAAATATCTGTATTAATAAATATAATAATAATAATAATAATAATATTTCATTAAATTAATGCAACTATTATTAAAACGTGTAAATAAATAATTAATAATAATATAAGAGGAATAACACATTAATTATTATTATAATAATTATCGTAATAATTAATTAATTAAAACAATCAATCAATCAAACAAACAAACAATTAATAGACACTATTATTATTAAATATTATTATTATTTTATTTTTTTTTATAAATATTAAATAATAATTTATTAATTATTAATAATAAAAAAAATAACCAAAAATTGATTCACAAAATACTAGCCATAAAACAACAATGTTATCGACGATAATAATCGGCGCTATTATTGTCATTATTGTTAAACTAATATTTTCATCAAAATCTAACAATGATAATGAAGATACAGATGATGGTAATGATGTCAACCATCATCATCACCAGCGGCTGGTCATCGATGATGGACACCAACAACAACCAGAGGACGGGTTGATCACAACTACTACTACTAATACTACTAAAACTATTGGCAATGAAGTAGAAGAAGTCGAAGAAGACGAGGAAGAAGTGGTGGAGAAACTATATGCTGAAGATTTGGTTGTCGTCGCCAACAATACTACAGATTTATTATATCACAGAGAAATGTCTCATGAGTTTAATGAAGACAAAGATCAGATGAATGAAGAAAACAAGACATCAGACATCAATAGTACAGTTGTTGGCTATAATGTCAGTCGTCATCGCCAGTCACTGACTACTGGAAAAACTATGGATACAGTCAGTGAAGAAGTAGCCAAAACAACGACATCGACAGGTGTACTACCATTGCAAGTGATTGTCGACCAGATCACCAAACAGGTCATCGACGATGTCTATAAAGAGCTTACTACTACTACTACTACTACAGCTGCTGAAGAAGCTATAGAGTCGTCGTCGACGACACTGATTGCCGGCACTGAAGTCAATGAGTCGATGATTGAACAGAAAACTAATGATGAAGTAGAAGAAGATGAAGACCTTATGATGTTTGTTGTTGTCGACGACGACCAGGAGATGATAGAAGAAGTGATACAAACAAAGAAAACAATAGAAGATCACGAAATACAAGAAGTCATTGCCGGAAGTGAATCGTCGTCGACGACGAAGAAACTGAAGACAACAGAAGAAGACGCTACTGAAGAAGTAGAACCAATGATTACAATGCAAACGACAACTGAAGACAAGCTGAAGAGGATTGTTGTTAATGAAGACAACAAAAAAGTTATAAAACTAGACGACGAAGAAGTAGTAGTAAAAGATGTGAAAATCATCGGCAGTATCGGTGAACAGCAGCCGTCGGCTATTACACGTCAGTCGACTACTACTACTACTTATGTCACTGAAATGGCTGTCGAGGACGACAACAACAATAAGGACATTAACGACGATGTCTTAAACTATTTGGACACAACATCAGCCAATGATGGACAATGTTTGACACATTTTAATAAATCGCGTCCAAAAAAATCAAAGTCACGCAAATCGGTTAAATCGGTTTTTACGGCCGGCACTGGTTGTGGACAACCAGATGATACTACCGATGCTGCTGTCGCTAGCGGTAGCTGTAGTGGTGGTAGTAGTAGTAGTGGCCAAACATATAGCAAAATAGATGAACAACTAGTCGAACAGTTACTTGATTTTACCGACACTGCCGACGGTAATCGTCTGTCATGTATCGGCAGCTCTTATAGTAGTCAATCGGCAGTCAAAGTCAAAGAGTCATCGTTATCGTCATCAACGACAACAAAGACATCATCGACAGCAACAGCAACGATGAAAATGGACGACTCGTTTGAGGAGATATCTAGCGGTGAATACAAACGTTTTGACGAATTTTCCGATTATTTCCGATCGGAGACCGAAAAGTCTAGCCATCGGACAGTAGAGACCAAAGTCAAGACCATTGACCTGACCGTAGCGACGGATGGTGGACAACAAATGATGGACGAGTTGTTGGCCAAGTTTAGCGGCGATGCCATTAGTAGTAGTAGTAGTAGTAGTAATGAAACCACTACTAGTCAGGAGGTCCGGGAGGTCGTCATCCGTGAAGAGAAAACTATCAGCAAAACTAGTGAGACATCATTGGAAGCACTGGAAGAACAAGTCCTACGACAGCGAAAAGTAATGGACACTAAACTAGTGGACAAAGAAGTAGAAGTAGAAGAAGAAGTGGTTTCCCTAAGAAGTTCACAACACGAGAGTACTAACAGCCGTACGACCAGCCGATTGCTGTCGTCAGAGCTGAGGACACTAAGCTCATCATCGTTGTCGATGTCGACCTCCGATGACCTGCACAACAGTGGTCTACGATCGCCGAAATCGCCGTTCAGTGAGATCATCGACTATGTAACGCAACCGTTACCGCTGTCGCCGACACTGAAACGCAAGTCGCGACCACAACCGCCAACCGAATCGCCGATTAACACCCCAAACACCAATACGGCTGCTAAACAGTGGACAACAATCACTAGTAGCAGCGCCGATGACCATCAATTGGCGACCACCACCACAACCACCACAACCAACTCTACTACTGTTATTACCGCCGATGATGATGATGATGATTATGACCAGACATCGACAACAATGACCACCAAACGGGTCGGTGTATCGATGTTTGGTAGCCAACAGAATCAGTTGTTGAATGAGTTGCGGACCAAACGGTTTCGCGAGTCGTTAAGGCCATCACCGCCGCCGCCACCGTTGCCGTCAACATTGCCGCCACAGCACAGGCAGGACGACGACTCTATTACCGCAGCGGCCAATCACCAGTCGTCCTGATTCGGTATAACCGTATTATCAATAATTACCGTATATTTATAATATATACTGTTATATAAATTATTGTTTTTGAAACAATTTAAGCAATTAATATATATATATATTTGATATTTTATTTAATTAGCAATTATATGATATATAACGAGAATTAATTGTAAATTTATTTTTATTTTATTTTTTTAAAATTAATTGTGTCTGTGTGTGTGTGGGGTGGGGTGAGATTGTGGGGGGGGGGGGGGGGGGTTAGCAAGCAATAGGTTAGTATATTAAGTTTAGTTAAGTAATTAATTTTTAATATATATATATAAATTAATATTTAGTTAACATATATATTTTTATTAGTTTTATTATTATTTCAGTTAATAAATGTCCACAAAAAAATAATTAAATAAAATTCAATTTTTTTACTATATAATCAATATTATATGTTATAATAAAGATAACTATTTATATATATATAAGACATTTTAATTAACTAAATAATAATAACATATTAATTAAATAATAATAAATGTAAAAATACAATAATTTCTAAATAATAGTTCACTATTTTCAACTAAATAAACAATTATTTTCATAAACAATTAATTTTATTATTATTTCAGTTTAATAGATTTGCACAAAAAAATAATATTAATTTTTTATAATCGATATTATAATTATAATAACTATATAACTAAGTTATATAAAGATAACTATATTTTTTAAATTAAACTATCAATAAATAAATAAATATATATATATTGTATTTATTTACATTATTTATAATAATAATAGTAATTATAATAATAATTAAAGATATTGCATTAATGATTTAATATGAAAATAATTTTTGGATAAATTTATTTATAATAATTATATTTTATTAATAAATAAATTATATTAATAAAATAGAAATATATTATATATAATAATTATTATTATTATATCGTATTTCGATTATTTCGATTAATTATTTAATAATAATTAGATATTTATCAATAATTATTAAATTTCTTTATAATATATGAATACTAAATAATTATACAAATAAATAATAAAACATTAATTGTAATAATATAATCTATTTTTAGATATTTATATCAAATATCTAATAAAAATAGTGTATAAATAATATATTTTATTATTTAGTATTAATTATAAGTTTGTTACTTAAATTCATTATTTTCTACTAAATAAACAATTTTTTTTCCAAAATATTGATAATAATGTCATATTTTTCTGCAAATAAATTATTGCCCGAAAATCAGGTATACAAGTGGTCGGCCTATCATTTATACCGAATCGGCTTAAGTAACCATCGATTAGTAGCCGTAGCCGTCGCCGATGATTGTTGTCCTCAACCAAAGAGACTATGGTTTAATCGACCGATAATTATACTAATTGTTTCAATGATTTATATTATTGAACACACAATATGTTTGTCTATTGATACAAATAATAGGCTACTATTTGCACTGTTAGGCGATTGGGGATACTTTTTGGGTATGAATATACTATCGGATATGTTTACATCATTGATGTTACTATTGGTTATATTATCCGAGTTAACCTATTTCTCAAACTATATGTCGGGTATAAAACCAACATTTTTACGGGTATTCGAAATGATGTCCGGTTTGCGTACACCCCTGTCGGTCGGTCTAACCGATCCACTGGAGATCCGGAAGCTTATCAAACGGATGCAATGGCTGTGCAATTACTTCCAGTTTAACAACACGTATTTAATACCAATATTTTCAGTAATTGTAGTGATGGCCAGTATAAGTAATGTGCCGTTAGATGGTTACTGGTTGGTCATACTATTGGGTTATATACCTAACTCAATGATAACAATACTAAATGCTTATTATTTTTTTAATTCAATGACCTATCAGTTGATCTACTTTTACATACTGTGCCTCTATCTAAAGCTCCGGCAGTTTCAATGTTATCGACAATTAGGACAACTATTGAATACTAAACACCATAAACACCAAACAACTAATACTAATACAACTAAACGTATTCAACTAATTATGAAATCTATGGACAAATTGTTTGCCGATATCTCGGACTACAATCAAACTTATTGGTCAAAGTTTATGCTAAATGTTTGGCTAACTTTCGGTACGTCTATTGTTATCCTATTGTTTATCATAACATTGTCTCATTGGATATCATACCGAAACTATTGTTAACCTATGGTTTAATTGTCTCTTTTATTGCATTTTTATTTATCATATTTACGGCCGCATCGATCAACTCCTATACAAATAAATCATTTAAATTGTTTATCAATTACTATATTAAACATTAATATTGATATTTATAAGTTTATTATTTTTAATAAAATATATAAAATACTAAAAATAAATATGTTTATTATCTTATTTTTCAATAGTATATCTATAAGCATAGTTGAAATTATATTATTAATAATAATAATTTTTTTTTTTAATTAAATGTTTAATGAACTTATTAATTTAGTTATTAAATTAATAAGTAATAAAATTATTATTAATATTAATTTACTATAATTAAATTAATGTATTAAATAAATTATATATTACTCTACTAATTTAATACATAGAAAACTAATTAATAAATGTTTAATACTAATTAATAATATTAAAATAATTTCTACAGTTTTTTTAGTTAAATTAATTATTACAAAAAAAACATTAGTTATAAGCGCTTAAACAATATATAGTATATAATTTATTTGTTAATTATATTAATTAAAAATTATGTTATATTGTAAATTATTATGTATATTAATTATCTTGTTTTCAATTTCAATGTATATTTTTTTAGGTTTCACAATAATAATTAAAAATATTAATTACTTAAGTTAATTAAAATTGAATATAATGTCTATGTATATGTATTAGTTTTTTTATGATAGATAATAATTAAATTAATTTACTATTGAAACTCGATATATATAATAATAGCAAAAATTAGTAGACAATTGCTATATATTTTTTATTCATTGATATTTTAGTAAAAATAAATTAATAATAAACTAAACTCTTGTTAATAAAAATAATGTCAAAATTTTTATCTTATAAACTATTGCCTGAAAATATGGTATACAAGTGGTCGGCCTATCATTTATACCGAATCGGCTTAAGTAACCATAGATTAATAGCCGCCGATGATTGTTGTCCTCAACAACCAAAGAGACTATGGTTTAATCGACCCGTAATTATAACATTTTTATCAATTATTTATATAATTCAACGTATAATCTGTTTGTTCATCGATGGGGATAATTGGCTACTATTTGCACTGTTGGGTGATTTTGGATACTTTTTGGGTATAAATCGTTTGTCAAATATATTTCCATTATTGATGACACTGTTGACTGTACTATCAGTATTAGTCTATTACTATAATTATCAATCGGGTATTGAACCGACATTTATGCGGGTATTCGAAATGATGTCCGGTTTGCCGGATCGGACACCCCTGAGTCAGGGTCTAACCGATCCCCAGGAGATCCAGAAGCTAATCAATCGTATGCATTGGTTATGCCGATGCTGTCAATTGAATAATACCTATTTAATACCAGTGCTCATACAATTGCTTTGTCTAAACGGTTTAATTGAATTATTAGGACGGTTAGATTGCTGGTTAGTCCTACTAATAGATTATATACCTAATACTATGATAACAGCGCCATTGATTGCCTATTATTTCTGGAATATAATGATCTATCAATTGATCTATTTTTACATACTGTCCATGTATTTAAAGTTAAGATTAAATACAATTTATCGGCAATTATTGGGAAAACAATTGACAACTAATACTAATACTACTAAACGTATTCAATATCTACTGAAATCATTGGACAAATTATTTTCCGATATTTCCGACTATAATCAAACTTATTGGTCAAAATATTTGCTAAATATTTGGCTGATTTACGGTACATCTATTGTCATACTATTGTTTATCATTATGTTTGTATCAATGGATATCCTACCGAAATTGGCCCTAATTTATACATTAATTATATATTGGATATCATTTTTATTTATCATATTTACGTCGGCATCGGTTAACTCCAGTACTAATAAATCAATTAAATTGTTAAACAATTACTATTGTATGAATTGTATGAATTTATAAATTAACAATTAAAATATATTATTGTATATAATATCAAAATTTAAACAATTTTTTTTAAATAAAAAGTTATATACTATATACAGTGCGGTTAGATTATTTAGATTATGTCCAAACTATTAGGTTAGGTTATTAACCAAATTAATAATTTATATATATTATAAAGTTTGATTACTTATTATACATTACACAAAAAAAAATTAAATGACTTATTATTTCATAAAATTATTTGATAGATAAACATTACTTTTACATTAACTAAAATAATAATAATAATAACGATTAATAACTGTTAAAAAATAAATGTTGAATAATACAGTATTATGTTAAATATAATTAAGATATTGATTAATTAATGAAAATAATTAAATATTTATAATTTTTTGCAGATATAATTTATAATAATTATATTTTATTAATAAATTAATTATATTAATATAATAGAAACATATGGTATAATAATAATAATAATAATAATTATTATTATTATTATTATTATTATATCATAATTATTTTCGATCTTTATTTATAGTATTATTAAATATAATATATTTTGTATATTTATATTATATGAATATATAAAATAATATTTTTTTATTTAGTATTAATTATTAGTTTCTTATTTAAATTTTAAAGTATTTTTTATTAAAATTTTATTTTCTAAATATTAGTAATAATGTCATATTTTTCTGTATATAAATTATTGCCCGAAAATATTGTATACAAGTGGTCGGCCTATCATTTATACAGAATCGGCTTAAGTAACCATCGATTAGTCGGAGCCGCCGATGATTGTCCTCAACAACAACAGAGACTATGGTTTAATCGACCGATAATTATACTAATTGTTTGTTTAGTTTATATTATTGAACATATAATCTGTTTGTCTATTGATACAAATAATTGGCTACTATTTGCACTGTTAGGCGATTGGGGATACTTTTGGGGTATAATTAGATATTCAAATATATTTTCATCATTGATGGCACTGTTTGTTATATTATCAGAGTTAGTCTATGTCTATAACTATATGTCGGATATAAAACCAACATTTTTAGGGGTATTCCAAATGATGTCCGGTTTTCGGCGGACACCCCATAGTGTTGGTCTAACCGATCAACAGGAGATCCGGTCACTTATCAAACGTATGCAATGGTTATGCAATTACTGTCAGTTTAACAATACGTATGTAATGACAATATTTGTCTTAATTATTGTAGTGATGGGCACCAGTAATGTGCCGTTAGATTACTGGTTGATACTACTATTATTGAGTTATATACCTAATTCATTGATAACAATACTAATGGCCTATTATTTTTGTAATTCAATGACTTATCAATTGGTCTACTTTTACATACTGTGCCGCTATCTAAAGCTCCGGCAGTTTCAATGTTATCGACAATTACGGCAACTATTGAATACTAAACACAATAAACACCAGACAACTAATACAACTAAACGTATTCAACTAATTATGAAATCTATGGACAAATTGTTTGCCGATATCTCGGACTACAATCAAACTTATTGGTCAAAGTTTATGCTAAATGTTTGGCTAACTTTCGGTACGTCTATTGTTATCCTATTGTTTATCATAACAATTGTCTCATTGGATATCATACCGAAACTATTGTTAACCTATGGTTTAATTGTCTCTTTTATTGCATTTTTATTTATCATATTTACGGCCGCATCGGTCAACTCCTATACCAATAAATCATTTAAACCGTTATTCAATTACTTTAGTAAACATTAAATATTTATTTAAATAATTTTTTATAAAATATATTATACTTTTATAATTAATATTTATTTTTGGTTATATATATATAATAAATATATTTAATTAATTATATTAGTATTATAGAAATTGGGAATATAATATTTATTTTCAATTAATAATTTAATAACAATAATTAAAATATTATATTAAATAAATTATTAATTGACTATCAAAAAAATATATAATAATTATTATATTTTTCAATAGTATAACAATAAGCATTGTTGAAATTATATAAATAAAATTATTATTTATAATATTTAATTATATAATAATTAAATATTGTATTATATAGTATCTAAATACAATTATTACTGTATTATATTATCTATTATAACAATTAATTTAACATTTTTTTTGTATTAATTATTTTATAACTTAATGAT